TGTAAAACTAATTAAATAATAGTTAAAATGGGTAACTGCTTGTTATTACATTATTGTTGCGTGCCATATATCGTACTCGGAACTGAACCTATTGTCCCTTGACAAATATTCTTCAACTGATCATCATATTTCGTAATTGAACGTTGCGTAAGAAACTTGTCGAACGACTCTCTCCCCATTCTCAAATGTCAACGGAAAAAGGCTTCAGGGAAGTTACGATTTCAAACCAGGATTCCACAGGTCGACGGCGGCGTCTACGTTTCCTGAACGACTGAGTCTCCATGATCCGTAAAAGCCGAATCCTTCCCAACAAAATCAAAAGTATTTGTTGACTAGCCACAATCAGGTTTTATATGGCAAGAAAACGGCAAAGAAGGACGATTAAAACATTTTTCGGGGGCATTTTGCTTTGCGATCAGTCCTTGACCAGAAACGACATAAAAAAAATCGCACTGTCACGAAATCTTCATGAAATCTCGGTATCTTTTTCGATTGATTAACATTTGTAGTTACCCAAATAATTTGCACGTCTCAAGTCCGAACGCTATTACAAAAACAGAAAATTCGTTGATACAAAATTTTCAAATGTTTTGCAAATACCAAACCAAATTTTTCGATGAATTGCGAACAAGGCCTTACTTAGCTTCTCAATATGAAGTACATTACTATCACGCCTTCACAAAAAGGATAAATTTTGCTTTAAAATCATATTATTTTTTAGCATATAGATGAACACAGTCATTTCTGTTTCCACTTCAAACCATACCAAAACAAATCTTTATTTTATTGAAATTAATTGAAATGAGTTATTCCACGCGGATATAGCTAAAAGCCAATCCTGAATTCAAAGCACTCTCTTTAACATAATGCTTTTACGTTTTCATTCTAAAATAAACATGAGCAATACTTGCAGTCTTTTAACTTACTAGCAGTCAACGTATGAAATTCGAAATTTTTAAAAGTTCAATTGTAAGTTAGTTCAACAGATTCCATAATCTTATTCTTTAGCAAAATTCAAAGCTCCCTTCCTCGTCCTCGCTTTAGAATGTAGCTGCAACGTCTGCGCGGAATGAGATCTTGATTCATAATAGCTTTCTGTATCGAATCAACCGCACTAAAGCTAAGTACGCTCGATGCCTATTGTGGCCTTACCAATTGCAATTTCCT